AACGGGTCCCTTGGGATCCGTCAGTGGCTGTGCTAGCACGAAGTCACAAGCGTTTTGAGCGTGATAGCCTTATTCACATTGTTGATCACGCGATATCTTCCAGAAACTGTAATTATGATCCACTCAGCACAACTGCAGTATAAACTACAGGTGGACTCAGTCGGTGTTGAAAAAACACAAAATGTGCCTGAGCAGTCTACGATGGCTAGCCGCCATCGTAGACTGGCATCCTCGGATTCGAGTGGCTGTGCCATTTACTTTATATATAAAAATTAATCAAAGTTTACAATACATATATACGATTATATAAAATTTAATAATAATAACACAATAATTATTACTTTAAATATTTAGCGAGCACTTTCTTTGCTGAAATATTGTTTAGGTTAATATAAATTGAATTTTATAGTTTTACGTATTTTATCGATATAAACGTTATTTTGAGTGGATGCACGTATTTGACTAGACGCTTTGTTTATTTATTAATCAGTATTGTATTTATATTCGTTTACCGGCCTAAATATAAGAGAAATGCTTCAAAAACAAAACTGCCGTCTCTTCTACTCCAAAAGCTTCATACCTCGCACCTCTCGCCTGTGGAAAAACCTTCCCAACTACTGTTTCCCTGAGAGCTATAATCTCCAACTATTCAAATGTAATGTTAATCGACGTCTCCAGTTGCCTTGATCTATCCACTATCCTTCTCCTCATCCTTTCCTCTATCACTTCTATCTGATCTTGCTCCAAATGTTCTGTAACCCCTTGCGTCCTAGTGACTTCCCGCCTTGCTTGGGGTGAAACGCTTATATATATATATATATATATATATATATATATATGTGTGTGTGTGTGTGTGTGTGTGTGTGTATATATATATATATATATATATATATACATGAATTATTCACAAAAACTAATGCAAAGGTTAATGATTTAAATGGCGAGACATCCATCATCGCAAACAATTCAAATAGTATACAAAAACCTCCAGATCCGTTATGAATGAATTGATCCTTGTTTATATAAATTTCTGCCGTATTAGTTGTTATTTTTTACTACAAGCTTTCGTCTGTTCCTACAGACATCTTCAGGTATAGAATAGATGTTTTTTTTTTTTTCTCTTAGTAATAAGAGGACAACGAAAATATATGTGTTGTTGTATCCGAAAATGCTATTGAAAAAGAGTTATTAGTTTTGGAACGCGCCAAAGCAACGCTGAGTTTGATTTTAAATTTTCGTTTATACGGGTTCAAATGGGCTATTTTTGGCCGTGCCTAATGGCTCGGGAATGCCCACGCTAAAAAGGCCTTGTGCCACATGACACCCCCTTGGGGGGGGGTGACTGAATATCGTCTGTCAGTCGGTCAACTCTGAACCGACAGTTCGGTTCAACTCTCTTCCTACGGGCGGGAGGAACCGAAGGAGGCTACGCCGAAGGGCGGATTCTCCTTCGGGAGGTAAAACCGGCCCTGAACCTGTTTATACGGGTTCAAATGGGCTCTTTTTTGGCCGAGCCTAATTGCTTGGGAATTTCCCACGTTAAAAAGGCCTTGTGCCACATGACACACTCGTGGGGGGGTGACTGAATATCGTCAGTCAGACGTTCACCTCTGAACCGACGGTTCGGTTGAACTCTCTTCCTACGGGCGGGAGGAACCCGAAGTAGGCTACGCCGAAAGGCGGAGTCTGCTTCGGGGAGGTAAATTGGACCTGAACCCGTTTATACGGGTTCAAATGGGTATATTTTTGGCCGAGCCTAATGGCTCGGGAATGCCCACGTTAAAAAGGCCTTGTGCCATGACAACCTCGTGGGGGGTGACTGAATATCGTCAGTCAGTCGTTCATTTTTGAACCGACTGTTCGGTTGTACACTCTTCCTACGGGCGGGAGTAACCCGAAGGAGGCTACGCCGAAGGGCGGAGTTTCTTCAGGGAGGTAAAACCGGCCCTGAACCCGTTTATACGGGTTAAAATGGGCTATTTTGGCCGAGCCCAATGCCTTGGGAATTGCCCTCGTTAAAAAGGCCTTGTGCCACATGACACCCTCGTTGAGGAAGGTTACTGAATATCGTCAGTCAGTCGTTCACTTTCTGAGCGACTGTTCGGTTATACTCTCTTCCTACGGTCGGGAGGAACTCGAAGGAGGCTACGCCGAAGGAGGCTACGCCGAAGGAGGCTACGCCGAAGGAGGCTACGCCGAAAGGCGGAGTCTGCTTCGGGGAGGTAAAACCAGACCTGAACCCGTTTATACGGGTTCAATTGGGCTATTTTTTGTCCGAGCCTAATGGCTTGGGAATTGCCCTCGTTAAAAAGGCCTTGTGCCACATGACACTCTCGTTGGGGGGGGGGTGACTGAATATCGTCACTCACTCGTTTACTTTCTGAGAAACTGTTCGGTTATACTCTCTACCTACGGGCGGGAGGAACCCGAAGGATGCTACGCCGAAGGGCGGAGTCTCCTTCGGGGAGGTAAAACCAGCCCTGAACACGTTTATCCGGGTTCAAATGTGCTATTTTTTGGCCGAGCCTAATGACTTGGGAATTTCCCACGTTAAAAAAACCTTGTGCTACATGAAACCTTCGTGGGGGCGGTGACTGAATATCGTCAATCAGTCGTTCACTTTATGAGCGACTGTTCGGTTGTACTCTCTTCCTACGGGCGGAGGGAACCCGATGCAGGCTACGCCGAAAGGCGGAGTCTCCTTCGGAGAGGTAAAACCGGCCCTGACCCCGTTTATACGGGTTCAAATGGACTATTTTTTGGCCGTGCCTAATGGCTCGGGAATGCCCACGTTAAAAAGGCCTTGTGCCACATGACACCCTCTTGGTGGGGTGGGTGACTGAATATCGTCAATCAGTCGTTCACTTTCTGAGCGACTGTTCGGTTGTACTCTCTTCCTACGGGCGGTAGGAACCCGAAGGAGGCTACGCCGAAGGGCGGAGTCTCCTTCGTGGAGGTAAAACCGGCCCTGACCCCTTCATACGGGTTCAAACGGACTATTTTTGCCGAGCCTAATGGCTCGGGAATGCCCACGTCAAAAAGGCCTTGTGCCACATGACACCCTCGTGGTGGGGGTGACTGAATATCGTCAGTCAGTCGTTCAACTCTGAACCGACTCTTCGGTTCAACTCTCTTCCTACGGGCGGGAGGAACCCGAAGGAGGCTACCCCGAAGGGCGGATTCTCCTTCGGGGAGGTAAACCGGCCCTGAACACGTTTATACGGGTTCAAATGGCTATTTCTGGCCGAGCCTATTGGCTTGGTAATTGCCCACGTTAAAACGTCCTTGTGCCACATGACTCCCTCGTAGTGGGGGTGACTGAATATCGTCAGTCAGTCGTTCACATTCTGAGCGACTGTTCGGTTGTACTCTCTTCCTACGGGCGGGAGGAACCCGAAGGAGGCTACGCCGAAGGGCGGAGTCTCCTTCGGGGAGGTAAAACCGGCCCTGAACCCGTTCATACGGATTCAAATGGGCTATTTTTTGGCTGAGCCTAATGGCTTGAGAATTGCCTTCGTTAAAAGGCCTTGTGCCACATGACACCCTCGTGGAGGGGGGTTACTGAATATCCTCAGTCAGTCGTTCACTTTCTGACCGACTGTTCGGTTATACTCTCTTCCTACGTGCGGGAGGAACCCGAAGGAGGCTACGCCGAAGGGCGGAGTCTCCTTCGGCGAGGTAAAACCGGCCCTGTACCCGTTTATACGGGTTGAAATAAGCTATTACTTGGCCGAGCCTAATGGCTTGTGAATGACCACGTTAAAAAGGCCTTGTGCCACATGGCACCCTCGTGGGGATGGGGTGACTGTATATCGTCAGTCAGTAGTTCAACTCTGAACCGACTGTTCGGTTCAACTCTCTTCCTACGGTCGGGAGGAACCCGAAGCAGGCTACGCCGAAGGACGGAGTCTCCTTCGGGAGGTCAAAACCTGCCCTGAACCCGTTTATACGGGTTCAAATGGCCTATTTTTTAACCGAGCCTAATGGCTCGGGAATGCCCACGTTAAAAATCCTTGTGCCACATGACACCCTCGTGGTGGGGGTGACTGAATATCGTCAGTCAGTCAACTGAATATCGTCAGTTCAACTCTGAACCGACTGTTCGGTTCAACTCTCTTCCTACGGGCGGGAGGAACCCAAAGGAGGCTACGCCGAAGGGCAGATTCTCCGCGGGGAGGTAAAACCGGCCCCGAACCCGTTTATACGGGTTCAAATGGGCTATTTTTTGGCCGAGTCTAATGGCTCGGGAATGCCCACGCTAAAAAGGCCTTGTGCCACATGACACCCTCCTGTGGGGTGACTGAATATCGTCAGTCAGTCGATCAAGTCTGAACCGATTGTTCGGTTAAACTCTCTGCCTTTGAGCGGGGAGGAACTCGAAGGGGGCTACGCCGAAGGGCGTATTCTCTTTCGGGGAGATGAACCGACCCTGAACTCGTCTATACGGGTTCAATGGGCATATTTTTGGCCGAGCCCACGGGCTCGGAGATCCCACGTTAAAACGGTCTTGTGCCACATGACGCCCACGTGGGGTGGGGATCTAAAGATAGTCAGTAGTTCAAATCGAGTCAAGAGTCGAGTCAGGGGCGTTCCGAAACAGTGTCGCATTCAGACAATTACTACTAGACATTGGAATAGTGATACTGGTCGAGACTACATTGTTCTCTCTACTAAACCTGATTGTTCATACTAACACTTCTACTTCTCTGTATATATTCCTGTTTGTAATATATCTCTGTTATTCCATATCCGCCTTCGAGTTCTTCTTTATTGGTTCTACCTTGGACTATCACCGTGGTACAAGGAACCGGACCATAACAATAACATTCTGAGAAAATATTATTTGAACAAATCTTCAAGGCTAGAGTTAACCGTTATCTTTCTTGCATAGACATATGAACTTCACTTCTTGCCCTTTCATACGTTCATACAACACCACACAGTAACTTTGTACCTTAAGAGGCTCATAGGCCTTATATTGCACGAATATTAGTATTGGCTTACGGCCACATCAACTCAAAACACCGGTTCCCGTACGATCACCAAAGTTAAGCATCGTCGAGACTGATCAGTACCTAGATGGGTGACCTATCGCATCTACTCCTCATTACCTATTGTGACTAAGGTCCAATCAAGAACCCTCCATTATTCGACCATCAGTCTAAATATATTCGCATTAATGCGTGCGTTCCCAGAAACCTATTCTTTGGCACACTCTGTCCCTTATTTTCTCCAAAGACTTTCCTATACCATCAGTTCCCGATTCGCTATCTATGCTGAAGTTTACTTCTGTTTTGATGGTAAGTCTGGCAAGTTCGATAATATCAAATTGGCGGGTTATCTTGAAAATGATCTCCAATCAATTGTTAACTGGGGCAAGAAGTGGCTAGTTAATCTTTAATGCCGCCCAAATGAATCTGCTCTCAGTTAATCTTTAAATCTTAATCATTTTAAGAAAGGCATGGTTGATGTTAACCTCGAAACTCACTTCGCTTTCTTGGTCTCTTATGAAAACGACATGATATCAATTGCAACGGTTCACTTGAAGTAATTACTAATTATACGGCAACGAATATCATTTCCCTATGTCATGCTATACAATTTTTCTCGTCCCAAACATAAAAAATCAAATATTCGTCCGTGCATTGAATTGCTGCCACATCTGTTTTGATGCTTCTTCTATGAATCTGTCGATGTTTGACAAAATACAAAGAAAAATCTACAATGTTATTGATCCTGGGCTTGTATCTCGATTTCAATCACATCCACGCTGCCTAAATATGGCTTTCCTGTTCCTTATAATTATATCCTGGTAAATTTTCTGATGAGCATTTCTGTTTGATACATCGGTGTCTCGAATGTAAGCGTTTTACTAGATTAGCCTTTAGGTGTTTTAATTTCACTTTTGAAATGGTGAGATGTAACCGTAAGTTCTATGCTAATAATTTCTTCTTTCGCACTTGACGCTTGTGGAACTCTTTTCTGGTTTCTTGATTTCCAGGCAAGTTTGATCTTCAACAATTTAAATGTAAAACCAATTTTCATATTCTGTTTCATGGATATAACAATATGGAAAAGTATAAATCTATTTCAGACGCTGTTTTAATAAATTTTACTGTTCAATTAATTTTTCAGCAGAGATCAAACGCTTTGGCAAAATATATTACAGGCTGAGTATCCTTTATCTGAAATTCTCAAATCCGAAAACTTCCAAAATCCGAAATTGTTTCAGGTGAAGACACGACTTGCCACAAATGGAAAAAATCAGAAAGACCAGCTATGTAGCCTACGTTGCCGCTATTTTTTTTTTGTTATCGATCTTCACAGCAACATCTTCGTTTGTGGATTACTTACCAGGTGTTTCGTGCTCAGTAAAGATATTATTCAAAATGTCAAAAAGTCCTGAATTTATATATTTTTGTAAGTAGTAATCATGTGTGTTTTTACACGTAAAAACATTATTTTTATACAAAATCTATTAAGTTTTATATGAAACTACTTTCAAGGTATATGTTATTTATATAAAACTACTTTCAGGGTATATGTATAAGCTGTGTTATGAAATATAAAGGGATAACGTGTTTTTGCTTGGGTTCCATTCCAAAGTTGCCCTATTTTATAGATGCTATATACAAATGCAATAGGCTCTATAACAAAATCCGAAGAAAATACAATCCCAACACTTTCGGATAAGGTTTTCTCGACCTGTGTTGCTGTGTAAAAAACATAATTATTAATATTTTTCTTCATTTCTTATTAGTTTAATTATTATTCTTTCGAAATTATAGACAGAAGAAATGCCCTATTATAAATTATTAATTCTTATTACTTATTTAATGACTTAAATATTTTAATCATTTTAACAGTTCATATAAACTAGTATACCTAATTATATAATCATGATATTAGTTCCGTTCCCTTGAGTGGGGGATTTCTTCCCAGACGAGTATCTGAGTTAGACATCGATGTCAACTCTCCCCAACTCTCTTCAACCTGTTTCTGGGGAGAATTATGTACAAAACCCTAGACGACAACAGCACTTCTATCTCTATCTGTAGTCAACCTGTCTGCAACCCGCGTTTCGCAGACGATATTGACCCCATGGCGCGTAATGACCTTGCAAGACCTGAAGAACAAACGCATTCAAAGAGCCTTCTTCTTCACATTTGGTCTTCAGATCCGGGATGTTTGTTGGAGCCCTCGATTGCATTTGAATTTTCAACCCCCCCCCCAAAAAAAAAACCCAGATTCACAATTGGGTTTAAATCTGGGGACTGACTTGGCCATTTCAGGATATTTACATTATTTTTGGCAAGCCATTTCTTTGTAGATTTTGTTTTGTGCTTAGAATCATTATCTTGTTGGAAGATCCAATAAGGAGGAAGTATAACTGAAATCATTAAATTTGCTTCAAAAATATTTTGATACCCTGCGGCATTCATTCTACCATCTATTATTGATATGTTGCCAGTAACTTTTGCAAAAAAAAAACATCCCCAAACCATGATGCTCCCAGCACCAAATTTCACTGTTGGAACTGCTTTGTTTGAAGGCATCACCATTTTTCCTCCATACACGATTTTGCTTTAGTCTGTCCATAATAGTCTTTTCAATACAATTTTTCCTTATCCTCATGTTCAGAAACGAATTTCAACCTGTCATTTCTATGTCTTTTCAATTGCAGTGGAGTTTTCCAAGTGAAACGTGACTTTAGATTGTTCCTATGAATTCCATTGCTTATTAGCCATTTAGTGACACAGATTCTTGATGAAAGCAAATCATCCTGCAACTCTTGACGAGTAACCATTGGATTTTGTTTCATTTGATGCATTAATTTCCTCGAAGATATTGAAGAAATCTTCAGTGGAACACTTGTTATTCTTTGCTTTTTAACAGTTTTTTATACCTTGCAATGAATAAACTAATAGTAGTAAATGCAAAATTAAGGCTTTTCCTGAAACTTTTACCTTCTTTCCAGAGCTTAACAATCAGTTAATCGGCCGAAACGTTGTGAATATGGAAATAAAGATGAGGATAACAGTCCAAATAATTTAAATAATGTAAGTAATCATAAAACCTCATCTAAGAGATATAGGCAGATAAAGATTTTGACGTTCCACACCACTTAAAACATCGTCCTGGGTAAGACGTTAAACTCATTTCCGCGTCCTGGTTAAGACATTAAACCACGTCCAGCAGCAAGGCCTCCAATCAGGAGGTTTTGAGGAGCGTGGAACCACCTCTTAATTGCTGGTGTTCCCAGGTCCACCCTGACCCGGGGTGATAGCACATGTTCGGGCCCAAGCTATGGGCAAATAGTTACCAGCAATATTTTTTTGAAAAAGATTATTACCAGCAAAACAATTTTGAAGGAAACAAAATATTACCAGCAATAAAAAAATTTTGTCAGCATTAAATGACCCATTGTGGTTGATATGCCGTAAAACAAAATAGACCAAACCAATTTAAACCAAAGAATACATATTCTATTCATACGAATCTATCCTAAAAATGTTGTTGGCATTAAATAACCCATTGAGGTTGATATGCCGTTAAACAAAATAAACCAAACCAAACCAAACCACTTAAAACAAAAAAAGTAAGAGCGATAACAGTTAGTTGTTTTAAGAAACCTATTTTCTTGAAAAATTGTTTTAAGATTAATATTTTGTAAATTTCCACCGACAGTAACAATGGCAATTTGACCATGTATGACTAATGTTTCTTATAAGGAAACATTTAATATTTACTGTTACCGTTACCCTGCTGTTTGTTGTCTTTGTATTCTCCTCTTATTTCTTGCCAATTGAGAAATACAATTAAAGAATAATTTATGATGTATGATAATTTATTGACTTAATTTTCTATTAGTTTGTCTGAAAAGAAAAGAAAATAACTATTTTATTCTCGTGCCACCTCCATTCCATCTTATGATATATGAAATTCTGTATTGTTCATTGTCTGCGCCTGTCCATAAGAAGAAGGGTAAAAAAAAAATCAATTCATTTCTTTTCTGGAGAGTCTTCAACTAGCATTCACACTCATAATAATAGATTTTTTTTTATTTTTAAATTGGCATTTTATCTTTCTCAGTGGCTCGTGGGTTTGATGCAACACTACCGTGATTAGCTGACCTCATAATGTGCGTCATATTCTAAGTTTTAGTTAAGTCCCAGATAAAAACAAATATCCCTTGATAAAATTTACAATCTGAATAAAGTTAACTGAATTTCGTTTTTCAAACTCATTTTATTCATTCCGAACGGATATATATATATATATATATATATATATATATATATATATATATTATCCATTAGTTGTGAAGGAAGACTGACTAACCTTCTCTACATTTATTGCTGAAAACTCGTCCATCCGCTGAAAACTCGTCTATCCGCTATGAGTAGAACTTCCATTCATGGAACAGTAGAAGAAAGTGAGCCGTAAAGGCACGTTGCTTTTCAGTGATAGGCTTATTGCACCGAACTCTCTCTTCTTCTTGTTCTTGTAACGGCATTCACCCGGGGTGGTTTGAGCCGGCTCCAATTGAATTAACCGCATCGCGCGTCAAGGCCATCCACCCCCCGTCGATCGGTAGCAGAATCGACGGCATGATCGAGCCATTCGCGATTCCAGAGTCGGACCCCGAAAACGCGAGGACCGGATATGAGTTCCATATCTGCTTTGACCGTTGCGAGCCACGTCTTGAGTTGACCACCTCGGCGCTTCCTCCAACCACTGGGTGCGTTTGGCGCCACCAGTTTACGGACGAACTCATCACCAGACCCCCGCAGCACGTGGCCAAACCTCCGGAGTCTCCTGTTAAGCAGAGTTTCTTCCAGACCTAGAATGTTGCATCTGGCGCGGATGGGCGAGTTGGGGATCCGGTCGGAGAGGCGCACGCGCAGGATACGGCGGAGGCAGTAGGGATCGAAGACCTCAAGCTCATGAAGATCCTCTCTGCGCAGTGGCCAGGTCTCACAACCATAGAGAAGAATTGTTCGGACCATAGCCTCCTAGATTCGCAACTCCGTGGATCGTCTTATCTCCTAGCGAGACCAAACGACATTGCAATCCTTAGCGAATCCTA